CGAGCCCGTTAGAGAAAAGATCTGTTTGTAGTACTCTTAGTCCTGATGTCACAGGCACAGCAAGGACATCAGAAGGAGGAGTCAGATTACAGTAAGAATGGGCAGTGCAGCATGCAGCCGGAGTAAACGCTAAATCAGACAGGGATTGTATCAGGGATAAGACTGCCTGCAAAGCGCTCATCCTGAGGAGGCACACTGCTCTCTCACGCTTCTCGTGCTGGGAAATTTCCACGTAATGTAGAATGAAAAAGCTCTGTTTTACATGTCAGCCCTGTGCAGGAGCTAATGCTGAACACACAGCGGTGGGATCCTGACTGCATGATTAATGAGAAACATAATGTATTTTGGTAAGTGTTAACCGTGATGTAATTCTGCTTCTGCTCACATTATCAATAGGAGTGATTATTACGGATTTCGGATTCAAGAACATTTCGTGCTGGCACGCACCTAAAACTGACAACTGGGGAATCCTGCCGGCTGTGCAGTTTRAAAGGATTCCATTGTCTGGGAAATTTTCTGTTTGAGTGGGCTACTGCGTAGTTCTAGCGGTTTGAAAAACAAGCCAGATAAGATGAACTCGTGCTAGGTTTGTTTTAAATGAACTTGTGTTTCATCTGCCGAGAGGGAATGAGAAATGCTTGTGAGGCATGGGAAGTTTTAGACGAACTTAATGTAATGGACGAGCTGCTACTGCACTGTCAGTGCTGGGGAGGCACAGTGAACCTCAGTATTTCATTSAGCTTTTAGTTTGAAGAATTCAAAGGTACAAAGGCGAAACAATGTTTTATTTGCGGKGCTGCGATTGCCGAGTACTCTGCATTGTGCAGATCACCGGTGTGGGGTTGGCTCCTAGCATGCCACAAAATGCATGTTATTTTAAGGCTTTAGGGGGTCTTGGAGCTGYTAAATATTTGTGCAGAGTTTCGTTTTGTTGCTTGAAGGAAATCTTCCTCAGGCTTACAGCTGAGCTGGCTGCATACCCTAAAAACACGCTGGAGTGTGGAGCTATGTCTGAGCAATGTAGCGCTGCAGCACTGGGTGGGATGTACGATTGCAATWTAATGCTGCAAGTTAGTGCTGTTAAACAGCAAAGAGGAACAAAATAGAGAATTAGGTGGTGTGATGGAAAAATGGTATTCTTGACTGCTTGAAATCTCACCTAGTCTCACTTTTAATTAATAGCTGCATAATACTTGGAATGAACACAGAGCTGGGAGTTGGAGGATTTCTGGGACATTCAGCAGCTTTCTCAGTTTCATTAAATATTGAATCAGGAGTTCACTTCAAGATTAGAGAGAAGAACTTCTGTAATATTCTCAGAAATAGTCCAAAAAGTACTATGTCAAAAAAGTACTATGTCTTGTGCCATGCTAAGCATTATTTTTTTTATTTTCATAAAACTCTGTGTGTGTGTGTGTGTGTGTGATTTGTCTTTAACAGTGAAATACATCAGTTATGAAAGCAGATAGATTTTGAGGTAAACTGTCCTAGCAGAAAAAAAAAATATATATACAGATTGGTTGAGTTGTCAGAAGTGTTTAGTGTCTCTTCCAAAGATAAATTGTCAATGTTTTAGCTTTACTACATTTTCAAAAGACTGAGGAAGAATAGGCAAATATTATGGTTATAGGTTTGAGTAATTTTGATTAAGTGTCTTCACCATTAAAAGTCAGTTAGGTTAATTTGCTACTCATTTCTTTCAGGTATTTTTCTACCTTTAACTGCATTTCAAGCTCAAGATGGGGTGTTTAGTTTTTTTTAACTATCAGTTTTCCAGTGTAGGATTAGAAGTTGCAGTTTCCTGAAGTTATMGAGTTAGGGTATTAGGTATATGTTAGCTGCACGGTATTTAATTTTTTTTTTCTGCCAATAATTTTTAGAAACATGTAATGGTGATCAAACTTTTTCTGGTGTTACTTTGGAAAAATAAAAATCACTGTATCATATGTTTATTTGTTTTCTGGTGCAGCACAGTTTTTTAAATGGAACAAATTATTGTGCTTCCTCTCTGCTTTGTAGGAAATTTCACGTCTGAGAGCAGAGCTGAAAGTTTCTGCTAGGCAGGTTCTGTGTTTGCTGTGTTCAGTCTGAAGTTTCCTTCAATATTAAGTTTTAAATGAATGTTCTTTCTCCTATCTTTTGCAAAGGAAAGCATGAGCTGAGGGATAATGTTTACCTGTAGTTATTCTGGGTATTTTCTTGCTGTTCTGRGTATTTTCTTGCTCTGTGAGAAGCCAGAACATCTGTAATCTCACCTGTCCCTGTTACTGCACAAAGCAGTATTGCACAGAGCTGGATGAAAGCTTGACTGCGTACATCGCGGACCTACTTTGATTTCAAATTGCTACAGCCATCACACCGACAATATTGGAATTTTACTTTTTCTAAGGAAAAAAAAAATGTTTTTCTTTAAATATTAATAAAGAATTCTGTAGCGGGTTTTCTGGGGTTTTTTTTGTTTTTTTTTGTTTTTTTTTTAATCCATGCATGCAACTATTGTGCTACATAAGTATGGAAAGGGAAGGAAAAGAAAGCATTTCTGTATGTTTGTATTCATCTTGTTTGCTTTTCTGGGCCTTCTTGTCTAATTGCTGATGTAAGGTGGCATAGAGGGAATGCGTGTGTGCAGCATTCAGGTTGAAATAAATACTGAAAATAATTACCATGGAAAGTAAAACCTAACTCTCTGACAGTATTATTGTTATAGAGCAAGTCCTAATGGGTGAAGGGAGTTTTTTAACTATCASAGAGAGAAGTTGCTAAATTCAGGAATTTGTCATCATGTTTCTCTCTCTCTCTTTAAAGCTGTAGCCTCCAAGATATTCTACCTTTATCTTACATCTGCTACGTATATTATACTATTTGATCTGAGCCTTCAAATAATTAAACTCATTGTAACCATTTTAAATTCATGAGCTTTTCTTTTACATTGCAGCCGAATTTTGAGGTAGTTGTTTTAAGAACTGCTAATTTTCACTCACCATGCTGTGCTTTTGAGTTTGTTGTTTGGTCACCGTGGATACATTTGTTACTTATTGTATTGATTTTGCATTCATCATTTCTAGTTGAATAGGAATATGGAATTGTAATAATAAYAGTAATAAAAATCCTACAAAATGATGTAGTATGTTTATAGAGTAAGCCAAAAGCCAATGAAAATAATAAATTTCTGTTAAGTGCTATCATACGGATCTGTTTTGCACTTAGGAACATACGTACGTTGCTCAAAGCAACTTTTGCCTGTATTTATGGCCAAGTTAATAATTGAGCATAAGATAAAAGTCACTGCTGTGGTCATTCTCAGTTCCGAGCGGAGGAATGGCAGGTGGCCCTCAGTGCCACGGCGCTGGTGTCGCACGCTGATCAGGGGGAGCGTCCCCTATTCCTGCTCAGCGTGAGGGCTCTGCTGGGCTGGTGGTCAGAGCTGGACACTGCCCCAATGCCTTCTGAGGTCCCACTGGTCACTGTCACCTTGGCTGGRCCACCTCGCCATGACTGCGCCTTCCTGGCCTGGCAGCGCGGGTGGCCACGGAGCTGGCTTGTCCTGGAGCCCTGTGGTCACCCCTCAGGCTGGGTGGCTGCTCTGGTGGGGGCAGATGGAAAGGGTTCTTGGCCAGGGAAAGGGCAGAGCCGCTGGTGCGTGTCCGGCCCCACACCACGGCTGTGAGCCGGGGGAACGCCGCAGTGATATTGCAGTTCTGGGACAGCGAGCACGGGTCCTGAGGGCTCGGGGAACCTGGCTGGAACTGAGAGCAAAGCAAATCCTCCTCTCCCGGCACCAAGAAAAATCACTGACCCCATACTTTACCCTTTCTGAAGACTCTAAAATTAAAATTTTCAAAGAAAGGGGAGAGAAAAAAGGAAAACATTGTACCTTTCTTTTTTATTTTTTTTTCCTTCTCTCCTGCATCCCGTGAACTTATTGCTGTTTTAAGTAACTTCTGTTCTCAGTGTTTCACATTATACAGGAAATTAATATACTGGGATGGAAATTTATATACTATGAGATAAAATATTGCTTTAAGGGAAACAAACATCTTTTTCCTGAAAATGTCATAACATTTCTACTTGTATGGTGGCTGTTTTAATTTTCAGTGGGTTTTTTTCAGTCAATGTTGTAGGAYGTAGTAGTTCATCTGCATACATACTACTATTCTGAATATCACCTTTTATTTCTGGAACACTTTCTTGAAGAGATTCATGCTGGATGAGTCATGGAAAAAAAAAGAATACCACCCCCCCCAGCCCAAATCTCATCACCTCTTTAAAGAAAACACTCATTGTACAAGCCAACTGACCAACTGCTGGAACACGGGTTGTTTTTTGTTTTTTGTTTTTTGGGTTTTTTTTTTTTTTTTTTTTTTTTTTTTTTTTTTTTTTTTTTTTTTTTTTTTTTTTTTTTTTTTTTTTGTTTTGTTTCAATGAAAGTATTTAGTTGTTACTGGTTTGTTTTTAGGAGATTATATTTCCTTCTAGGTTAGACACTGTGGAGGCCTTCAGTACAATTTCTGTTTTCATTTAAGTCAGGATGAATCGCTGTTGATAAGGCTGTGCTTTTAAAATGYTTTGAAAAGTACAGATACTGGATTACTGACTGTGTTTTATCACCAGCCATCTGCAATAAGAAAGTGTAGTTAATATGTAATGGATGCTGTGTGTGACAGAAGAATTCAGCTGAGCAAGCCAATGTATAGGATCTTGAAAACTGCAGGAGCCTGATGTTTATATTTGGAACATTACAGCCTTCTGGGCAGTGGAGTTCATATCTTGAAGCACTGAATAATCATTAATGTATGTATACATAATAACAAAAAGAAAATCCTGTTTGAACTTACAGAAACTGGTCTGTGCTGGACTGCACCCTTTTAGTTTCTGTTACAGAAATTGTTCATTTTAAATGCCTCTAAATATATCCAGTATGTTGCCATAAATAAAAGGTTCTTTTGCCATTTTACAGACAAAAAAAAGAAAGAAAAGTCATTCCAAGTATTACTTTTCTTGTGGTTGACAGMACTGCTCAAAACCCAAAATTGGAATCAGTAGTTTCCTGCTTCATTAGAGAAGATTAGATCACAGTTGCTTCAGCTGAAGGTCCTTGAACAAAGTGTGTGTGCGATCACATGCTCAAGTGAGTGTGTGTCGGTGCATTTTTAACAGGGATGATTGCAGAATCTTATCCTGCATATCTTCCTAACAAATGTTCTGTTAAGAAATTAAATTCAAGAAGAAACCAGGTGTTTAAAGTTTTCATTTTGTTATCATGATTCTGTCTATTTTCTTTTTTTTTTTTCCTAAAAGGCAACTCATATAAATTTTTGTAAAATATTTTTAAATAATGAGAGCCTTT